GAACATCAGCTGGAGCTGGAGCAGGATAAGGTTCTTGATACACATATGGAGGAGGAACCTCAGGGTACACAGGCTGGAATGTACCATACGGTATACTAGGATATGCATGCTCCAGGAAGCGGTGAGTATACTCCCCTTGCATAATAAGCACCTATTTTGAAGAGAGATCCATGAAAGCTGTTGTTGCATTCCATAAAAATCAAATACAGTAGGAGGTCCTTGTGGAGCAACTGGAGCTGCTTGAGCATCATGTTCTGCAGGAGCATCTGGCTCCGGTACCAGAGGTGGAATAGGCATACGTGGAACACGTGGAGAAGCAGGCTTACCCGCAGATTGGCCTCTGCTTCTAAACTCAACCTCATTTTTATTACAGTGATCTATGTAGGTAGCCAAATTCAGCACATATGAGATAAGCACTCCTGCCCTAGTACACAAATGGGAAATAAGAGAAGCAAAACCCAGAAGTTCTTTCCTACTACTCCCTTTCACCATATGACAAATTCTATCAGATAAAACGGCGGAAATATTCAATCTTTCCTCCCTAGTAAGGATGTATAACAAAGACGCCCGCTCAATATTCACATCTGACAGATTAGAAGATGGCAAGATATTGGCATTCACAAAATAATGCCAGAAGCGGCATTCACCAGTCAGCTCTTTCATACGTAACTTTTCAAGGACACCACCAGCTTTAGTTTCCCATTTGGAGTATGGTTGAGTAATCCCTGTCCTTACCATTTCTGTCAATTGAGAAAATTCATCTCGGTACAGCTTGCGCCCCATACTAGGCAACATTCTGTTATACAAAGACACATACTCACAAAAAGTATTTTGATTGAAATTCGTCAGCAGGTAGAACTCAATGGTGGCTGCATCAAAAGGAACTTCAACTCCTCTAACCCATGAAGCCTTCGTTGTTTGTAAATCCTCCAGTTCTGCATTTGCACAGAACTCCTTGACAATTAAGCTCGAGGCTGGTTCAGCATAATCTACCAGAACCTCCCATTTCCTTCTTTGGATGGTTCTCAGAATCGGATTATCCTCAGGCATATGCATATCAATATTTCTTTCAGGAATGAAGCCCTTGTTCTCATATAGATCGTAAAATCTCTTTTGAGCTTCCATGCTCACAAATCTACTTTCATCCAGATTCTGAGAAATTTTCCGCTTCTTTTTCCCGTAACTTGCTGGCTCCTTACCCTTAAAGACCTGAAAATCAGAAAAGTAATCCAGTGCAAAAAGTATAGAAAATATCATCACCAGTCCATAACAAAGAGATAATTCCCAGATTTGTCTCAGATCAAATCAGTTAATAAAGATGCATACACATAGGGAAATATTTTGCAAATACTTTTACTCACAGACCACATGTACATACCATTCCCAGATTTAATCTCAGATTCTATCACAGCAATATACCCAATTTACTCGTAAATAAATTACCAAGAAAATATTCATCACAGCATGGATCAAAATCTCCAACCACACATAATCATAGATGATAGGAAATATTAAATGACCATAAAAACCACATATACCCTCAATGAAACCCATGAAACACTCACATAAAATTCTCACACCATACACAAATTACCCACAACCAATAAATCATATAGATGACAGTTAAAATCAGCCACACATACTCAGAGATAATCTTACTCATAATTCGTGAAACCAAAATAAAGAATTCAAAAAGATGAAGAAGATTACCTTTGGTGCCATGAAAAATGATAAAAATTAGTAGAAAATGTGCTTGGTGTGTGAGGATCTTGAAGAGGTGCAATAAAAGAAAACAAAAATGGAGAGATGAGGGGGGGGCGTGAGATGAAGAGTGGATGGAAGAAGAAGAAAGGAAGGGAAGAAGGAAAGAAAATGAAAGAGAGAGAGAGAGAATGAGGGGTGTGCGGCGCTAGAATGAGGGAAAGTGAGGGGAAGGGGGGTAGTTTTAGGGTTACATGCTGCAACACATCGTTTTTTTTTTAAACAAAAATGTAACTGGCTCGGATCCGCGCCACTGTGGCACTGGACCGCGCCGTGTTACTGCCCAAATTTTTTTTTCTGCACCACGGCGCCAAGTTGCGCCATTTCTCTGGTGCTTGTACTGTGACATTTTTTTTAAGATAAAGACAATTTCTACATTGAGTTGCCTCCCAATAAACGCGTGTTTAACGTCACGAGCCTGATGGTTACCTCTTTTATGTGCCAACAGAGTTGAGATATTGAGCCACAGTATTTTGTGACACAATTCCTCCATGATAGAATTTCAACCTTGAACCATTCACCTTGAAAGGTCTATCTTCATCCCGTGGTGATATTTCTATTGTACCATAAGGAAAAACCTTTTTCACCACATAAGGACCAGACCATCTTGATTTCAATTTCCCTGGAAACAACCTCAGGCGAGAATTGTACAGCAAAACTTGTTAGCCCGGTTCAAACTCCTTGTGAATAATCCTGTTATCATGCCACTTCTTGGTTTTCTCCTTGTAGATTCTGGCACTCTCATATGCAGAATTTCTGAACTCATCAAGCCTACTTAATTGAATCTGTCTTTTCTCAAGAGCTTTTGTTGGATCAACATTTAGGAACTTAATAGCCCAGAAAGCTTTATGCTCTAACTCCACAGGGAAATGGAAAGATTTTCCAAATACCAATTGATAAGGTGACATACCAATAGGAGTCTTAAAAGCAGTCCTGTACGCCCATAGTGCATCATCCAGCCTCTTAGACCAATCTTTCAAAGAATTTCCAACAGTCTTCTTAAGAATCCGCTTCAATTCTCTGTTAGAAACCTCTACTTGGCCACTTGTTTGAGGATGATAAGGTGTAGCCACCTTATGTTCAACACCATATTTTGTCAGTAGATTATCAAATTGCTTGTTACAAAAATGAGTGCCTCCATCACTTATGATGGCCCTAGGTACACCAAATCTTGTGAAAATATTCTTCCTCAAGAAATTCACAACCACCTTAGCATCATTAGTGTGAAGAGCAACAACCTCAACCCACTTAGAAACATAATCAACAGCAACAAGGATGTACTGGTTGGAATAAGATGAAGGAAATGGTCCCATAAAATCTATCCCCCACACATCAAAAAGTTCTACCTCTAATATACTATTCAGAGGCATTTCATCCTTGCGGAAAATATTTCCAGCTCTTTGACACTTGTCACATCGTTCAACATAGTCCCTGGCATCTTTGAATAAAGTAGGCCAATAATAACCACTCTGTAAAACTTTTTGAGCAGTTCTATTACCTCTAAAGTGTCCTCCGTAGTCTGATGCATGGCAATGCCACAAGATCTCATGAACTTCAAACTCTAGCACACACCTCCTTATAATTCTATCAGCACATTGGAAATACAAGTAAGGATCATCCCAATGAAATCTCCTCGCATCTCGTAGGAACTTCTTCTGTTGTTGCCTAGTAAGGTTAGGAGGCAACTCTCTTATCACCTTGTAATTGGCAATATCTGCAAACCATGAAGTTACAAAGATTTCCATAACTCTTTCATCAGAAAAATTGTCATTTATGTCTCTCTCAGGACCATCCTGTAATTCTTTCTCCTGAATACGTGACAAATGATCTGCCACATTGTTTTCCACTCCAGCTTTATCTCGGATCTCCAAGTCAAACTCTTGAAACAAGAGCATCCATCTTAGAAAACGAGGCTTGGCATCCTGCTTATTTATCAAGTACTTGATAGCAGATTGGTCAGTAAAAATAATTACCTTGGACCCCAACAAATAAGATCTAAATTTGTCCAATGCATACACTACTGCTAGCATTTCCTTTTCAGTTGTGGCATAATTTACTTGTGCCTCATTTAAAATTTTACTAGCATAGTATATGACATGTAACAATTTATTCTTACGTTGGCCAAGGACTGCACCTATAGCATAGGCACTAGCATCACACATGAGCTCAAATGGTAAACTCCAATCAGGAGCTACAAGAATGGGAGCTGTAGTGAGCCTTTCTTTCAAGAGATTAAAAACTTTAAGGCATGCATCATCAAAATGAAATTTAGAATCCTTTTCTAAAAGTTGGCTCAAAGGTTTAGCTATTTTAGAAAAGTCTTTTATAAATCTCCTGTAAAACCCAGCATGTCCTAGAAAACTTCTAATATTAGTCATATTATTAGGGTGAAGAAGTTTTTCAATCAACATCAATTTTGCTTCATCTACCTCAATCCCTTTCTCAGATATCTTATGACCTAAGACAATTCCCTCTTGTACCATAAAATGACATTTTTCCTAGTTAAGTACAAGATTTGTTTCTTGGCATCTTTTTAAAACATGAGTTAAGTTAAGCAAACATAAATCAAAACAAGAGCCAAAAACGGAAAAGTCATCCATAAATACCTCAAGATTTTTCTCCACCATGTCAGAAAAAATGGAGAGCATGCACCTCTGAAATGTGGCAGGTGCATTACATAGACCGAACGGCATCCAACTATAAGCAAAGACTCCAAAAGGGCAGGTGAAGGCTATTTTCTCCTGGTCTTTTGGTGCCACTGGAATTTGGTTGTAACTAGAATAACCATCCAAGAAACAGTAATAAGTGTGACCCGCCAGTCTTTCCAACATCTGATCAACAAAAGGAAGTGGGAAGTGATCCTTCCTTGTGGCAGCATTCAACCTCCGGTAATCCACACACATTCTCCAACCAGTAATGGTTCTAATTGGAATAAGTTCATTTTTCTCATTGTAGACTACAATGATACCTCCCTTTTTTGGAACAGTCTGCACTGGGCTCACCCAAGCAGTATCCGAAATCGGGTAAATCATACCAGCATCAAGAAGTTTCATAACTTCTTTTCTCACCACCTCCTTCATTGTTGGATTGAGCCTCCTTTGAGGCTGCCTTACTGGTCTAACCTCATCCTCCATGAGGATTTTATGAGTACAAAATGAGGGATTAATACCCTTCAAATCAGAAATTGACCACCCTATGGCAGTCTTATGTTCTTTCAGCACTGCAATCAATCTTGTTTCTTACTCAAAAGACGATCCCTTGTTAATAATAACAGGGTAAGTCTCCTCTTCACCCAAGAAGATGTATTTAAGAGTTTCCATAAGCTCCTTCAACTCCACCTTTGGGGCACCATCTTCCTTGTCAGAATCTTTCTTCTCAAGAACTTCAAATACCTCATGATTTTCTTCCTTAAAAGGAACCATTTCATGCACTCCAAGTTCTTCTTCAGACTTTTGACTAGAAGATATTTCTTCTTCCACCACCTGCTCTAGAATATCAAGTCTAAAATAGTCGCCTTTGTCAGAAGATTGTTTCATGGAGTCAAAGACGTTGTTGGTGATAGTCTCATCATTCATCCTCAACTCAAGCTTGCCATTTTCAACATCAATCATGGCTCGAACAGTAGCCAAGAAAGGTCTACCCAATAACAGAGGCATTTCAGTACCCTCTTCCATATCCAACACCGCAAAATCTGCTGGGAAGATGTACTTATCCACTTTAACAAGAACATCTTCAATAATTCCACTCGGTCTCCTCAAAGATCTATCAGTAAGTTGAAGAGAAACTATGGTGGGTTTTAATTCAGTAATTCCCAGAGATTTACAAACAGATAACGACATCAGATTAATACTTGCCCCAAGATCACACAATGCTCTGCCGACATCAGTATTACCAATAGCAATTTGAATATTGAAGCTCCTTAGATCACTAAGCTTGGGTGGAAACTTCTTCTGTATTATGGCACTACACTCCTCAGTGAGTGTTGTTGTCTGGCATTCCTGCAGCTTGTGTTTTCTTGATAATAAGTCCTTCATAAACTTGGCATAATTGGGCATATTAGCCAAAGCTTCAGCAAAAGGTATATTTGCATGCAACTTCTTGAAGATATCAAGAAATCTTGCATATTGCTGCTTCTGAGCATCTTTCTTGAATCTTTCTGGATAAAGTGCCATGGCCTCACATATTCAGGATTCAACTCAAATTTCTTTTTTTCAGCAACTATAGGTGGCTCTTCTTCTTCAACTTTCTGAACATGTTTCTCCACATCAGAAGGAATTACCACTTCTTTTTCTGGCTCCTTAACCTCCTTAATCTTCTCATCAGCTTCCATATTTGTGTTTGGCTTTCCTGGAGCTGCTACCACTTTACCACTTCTAGTTGTGATAGCCATACAATCGTCCTTGGGATTAGTAATTGTATTGCTAGGGAAGGTACCTGGAGTTCTCTCAGCAAATTGTTTAGCAAGTTGGCCAAATTGATTCTCCAAGTTTCTAATAGAGGCAATGTATTCTTTGTATTGGCTCTAGTCTCTTCCATAAAAGCATTGGAATGTTGAGCCATTGTCCCACTAGCTTCTCCAAGTCAGGAGGTTCCTTAGACTGAACTGGTGGTGGTTGCAAATAATTGTTAGACTTGAAATCAAGACCAGTCCCCTGCACCCTCCTCTGAAAGTTATTATTTTCAGAAGGAAAATTCTGATTCCTTGGAATATTTTGTGGCGGAGGCCTCTGATCATACCAAATGCCATTCACATGCACTTGTTGAGGAGGATCAGACGACAGCAAAGAAGGACATTTATTGGATTCATGATTGTCCTTGTAATATTCACAAACAACTGAATCAGCTTGAGCTTAGACACTAGAGAGTTGCATCTTATCAAGCCTCGAGGTCAAATTTGCCATTTGCTGAGATAATAATTTATTCTCAGCCAGCACAACATCATTACCTTCTAGCTGAAGGATACCTCTCTTAGGCTTGGATGACAAACCTTCATTCCCATTTGCAGCCATTCTTTCAATCAGCTCAAAAGCCTCATTTGCTCTCAAGGATTTAATACTGCCACCTGTTGCACTATTCAACACCATCCGCACTTCAGGTTTACAACCATTGAAGAAAATTCTCACTTGATTACCAGCTGTCAAGTTATAATGAGGGCACCTCCTCAGTAAATCCTTGAATCGGTTCCATGATGCACACATCGTTTCACCCTCTATTAATTGAGTGAAATTGGTGATATCATTCACCATATGGTTGTATCTCTCCATCGAGAAGAATTCAGCAAAGAACTTCTGAGATAAATCATCCCATGTAGGAATACTTCTTACAGGCTGCCTTTCCAACCAACTAAGAGCCTTTCCGTTAATAGCAAAAGGGAACAACCTCAACCGGATTTCGTCATTAGACACCTGAGGGTGTTTGGTTGAGTCACAGATCATCAAGAATCTGTCAATAAACCTGTGAAGATCTTCACTCTCCTCTCCTCCAAACTGAGCTCTCTCCACCAATTGAATATGGAAAGATTTGAGCTCCCAATTGTTGTTGGCAACGTTAGGCTGAACAATGCTCGAGTTGGGCCTGTTGAACGAGGGAGTTAGAATAGTATCCATGAATGGATTATCTGCATCATTGTTTCCTGCCATGGTTTGTGCTTCTTCCGACAGAATCTCTAACTCGTTGAATGCAAGCTTTTTCCGAGCAAGTTTTTTGTTTCTCTTTTCAGTCTTTGTAATCTCCAAATCAAGTGGAAATTTTGGAATTTTACCTCGCATACAGCTCAGAAAAGAGATTCGTAGCATTGTTCAAATATCACACAAAAATAAAAATAAAAATAAAAATAAAAATAAAATCCAATCTTAAAGATCAAGATTATATGATATAAGAAACGTCAATCCCCGGCAACAGCGCCAAAAACTTGATGCTTACCGGCAAGTGTACCCATCGCATAAGTAATACAGTGATAACAAAGTATCGTCTCCACAAGGATTGGGATCGAATATCAAATAATTTTCCTTTTAAGATGGAAGGAAATCAAATAGGTGTGTGAAAATTGTTGTTGATTTGGGTAAAAATAAGAACTAAAAGTAAGAACGTGTTTTTAAAATTTTTGTTATGAAAAATAAACAGAGATTGATTTTATAAAATTGGAGAAAGCATTGTAGCTAGAGTACACTCACCGAATGATTCCCACTTCTTACTTTGGATTGATTTACAATATTCATTTACATAAATACTCAGATAAATTATCATCTAAAAATATTATTAGTTAACCCTCAATTCCTTGCAAGATTAACCCTTTAACCCTTGTTATCAGATTGATCAGTTCTAATAAAGAAGATAGAAATTACGCACAGAGTAGAATTAAAGATAAATATATAAACAAGTAAATGTAAACCAATCTGTCGTAACAAGGGTTCACATAGGGTTTGTGACCCTAACTACAATAAAAAGAACTAACCAACCATTATCATGGCTAAATATTCAATATTTAACATAAATATACGCCTCTTTTCCTTCTTCCAAAAATACCCTCGGACAACACGGTGTATTTTTTTTCACAAACCGGCGCAAGTTGGTGCCACTTGGCGCTGTGCCTCTGTCCGAATTGCAAATGGCGATCCTGAACTTCTCGTAAACCAGCGCGACTTGGCGCCGGTGTGGCGCCACTTGGCGCTGGTGTGGCGCCATTTGGCGCGTGTCCCTGTGAATTGCCTCAACACGTCATGAAAAGTACGCACACCGGCGCGGGTTGGCTCCAGTGTGGCGCCAACTCGCGCCACTTCAAGGAAGACGCTGCAAAAATCGTAGAACGGCGCAGATCTGCGCCATGGTGGCACCAGTTCGCACCATGTTGCTGGAATTTGTACTGTGCTACACCCGTGTGGAGTCGCGTCAACAAGCTTTTTACAATTTTGTAATTTTCACTTCTTCTACCTGTATAAACATAACCAATAGGTGAGAAATATCATTGACATGGAAAGAATCAATATAAT